AAGGAAGTTTCCATACTTCGGAAAATGTAGACTGTTTAGTTGAGGCAAGAATAGTTGATTCGAAATTGTTGATTATGTTAACCATGTGATTGAAAAGAGAAGACCTAAGGCAAAGGTTGTCAATTACACTCCATATGTTGGGGAAGTTAGGTTTCCAGCATTCTATTGGATATGATCAAATCAAGTTTCAAAGGGAAAAATTGGTGAATTCGAAGCTCTGATTTTGAATGGAGACCTAAGGCAAAGATTGTCAATTATACTCCATATGTTGGGGAAGTTAGGTTTCCAGCATTCCATTGGATATGATCAAATCAAGTTTTGAAGGGCAAAATTGGTGAGTTCAAAGCTCTGATTTTGAAAGGAGACCTAAGGCAAAGGTTGTCAATTACACTCCATATGTTGGAGAAGTTCAAATTGGGTTTCCAGCATTCCATTGGATAAGATCAAATCAAGTTTCGAATGACGAAATTGGTGAATTCGAAGCCCTGATTTTGTTTGTTTTTTGACAAATAGAATAAAATCAGACCATGCCAAATAAAGAGAAGAAATATTAGCTTTATTAAGACAAAAGCAATTACATCAGAAGCCTTTTTTGGCTACATATTCAAGTTCATAAAAATAAGGAATAGAGTAAATGGCAAGGTCATGGAATTTGTTCCAACTGTGGTCAATGAACTTTTGTTCCTTTTTAATTCTATCTTCTATCTTCTCCAGGCTAGGTTGTTGAAGCTGATATGCTCTTATTTGATAAAAAGTTTTTCGGCCTTTATTTCAAACTCTATTTCCTTCAACCCTTGTTCTATCTCATCCATGTCCAAGTCATTCCAGTATGCAGAGTCTTTATTTTTTAAATCATTATATTCGTCGATAAGGTTCTCTGCTTCATACCGGGTATGAACTCGACGGGCTGAGATTTGGTCCAAAGATCGAGTGGTGGCCACAGAAGTTTGATGCCAATGAAGAAGCAGTGGGAGTTAGTCTAAAAGCATCTGGAGCTCTGCTTGGGCGATGGGATTGAGGACATGACCCCGGGTCATAACATCACAAGCCCATCAAAAGTTCTTGAGAGGAACATCACCCTCGAGAACATTGAAGGGCAAGTGAGAAAAGGCCGTAAATAGAAGCTGAGCTTGATATCGCTCAAATATAGTGGGGGGAGATGGAGGGCTATAAAGGGGGAGAAACTAGTCCTCAAAGAGAATAAGTCTCAGTTCTTCCATCCAGTGAGGGTTTTGCGGAAGAGGAGGTGCAGGAGCTTCCATCACAAAAGGAGGGAACTGGGGGTTGTTGACGCATTCAAGCTAGTCAGAAGAGCAAAATTTTGCCTTTCGGGCTAAGAATGAAGGGTTGTACCCTTGTGCCTCTTTTGGATGACGAGTATAGCGATCCCGGATTTACCCTTGTTGTACAGTGATCTGGACATGTGTCTGTGGAAGTTGGTAGTTGATTATTATCTTGTTTACATCCTTTTTACTTTGTAGTTGAGTTATGGGATGTGTTGGGCAGGTTTGTTACAGGTTGGTTGAGTTTAGAAACCAAAACTAGTTGCCCAGATTTTGACCTGTCCGCTCGAGCGGGGGTTTTGGCGCTCGAGCGGGAATTGCACCCATCCAGTATTTCCTGTGCAATGTTGGACGCTCGAGCGTGGGATTGGCCGCTCGAGCGGGGTTGTGTGAGTGTCGCTCGAACGGGGAGTTGGAAGCTCGAGCGAAGACCTGGTTCTGTAAAAGTTCTGGGAGTGTGTATCCGCCGCTCGAGCGGGATTGTTAATGCTCGAACGGGAGTCTGTGAGTGACGCTCGAGCGGGGTGTTTGACGCTCGAGCGGGGCGACTGAGTTTAAGTTCCGTGTTTTGACTTTTCAAATCACTTTTTCACTTTCTCTTCTCTCTCCTACTTTTCCAAAAACACCATTGTTGAGCCTCTCACTCTAGAACTCTACCTTCTCTCTAGGTTTTGATCTAGTAGGAGTGATTTGCTCATCTTTGGCCTTTACAAAAAAGTTGTTGATCGTCGAGGGCTACATTTTAATCTGAAAATTTCAGGATTTGGAGCACGTTGGGTTTTGTCATCTTCTCCCTTGGGGCTCCGAATTTGAGGTAGGGATATCCTACTCCTCTCTATGGATTTTGTCTTTAAATTTTAACATAAGTACATTCTCCAACTCTTTGATATAAATCAAAGTTACTTTTACATCATAAAACTTGCAAAGGAATAAACTAGGGGCATAGATAAGTCAGGTGGTTCTTTGTCCTCTGCTCGTGCTTACGGAAGTCTCTGCAGCCAAAGTTGGCCCAACCTATGCCTTGTCTTCAACCCAAGCCAAGCCAAGCACTCTCGCCGAAAAGAGTGCAATTGAAGTTAGGGACAGGGGCCAGAAGTTCTTTTGTCCTCCAAGTAGTGGAATACCGAGCTAGCTATGAGCCTCGGATCGAAAATGAAACTGGGTACTCTATTCCCTCTCCTAGACAAGTCTAGTCATGTCCAAACTGACGCTTGAACCGGAATGGAAAATAGAAGACACAGTGTGTGAAGCCAATCAACTGAATACGAGGCTGAATGTGGGTATAGCTTTTATGCTTATCTGTGGATATTGTTGTTATACATATCTGTTGAGAATGTGGATATAGCTTATATGCTTATCTGTGAATGTGGGATATTGTTGTTATACATATCTGTTGAGAATGTGGATATAGCTTATATGCTTATCTGTGAATGTGGGATATAGTTTTTATACATATCTGTTGAAATGATGATAGAGCTAACATGCTTATCTGTTGAAAAAGGGAAAATGAAAAGTAACTTGGACTTATAAGTCGTATGACATAAATATGTGATTTATGTGAATGTATCAGTGTTGGCCATCTATCAATTGCTAATCTTTTAGTCATTATACATGGTTGGTTTAGTGTATTTCTACTGGGCTGTGGCTCACCCTATATGGGAATATCATTTTCAGGTACAGGTAGCATGCCACCTCCAAGGACATAGCTTGGGAGGCTAGGGGCAGGCGGACTTTTGTCGTTTTATTTCTCTGTTGTATTACATGTATATTCAAGCCAAGGGCTTAATGTGTAAATGAGTTAGCACTCTTTTGTTGTAACCAAGTGTTAACTTGGAAAGCTGTAAGCTCGTAGGGCATTTTGCTTTTGTTGTTAACATGTAATACTTTTGTAAGAAACTACTCTGATGAATAGAAGGAAGTTTATCTTTATTACCAATTCATGTCTTTATTGGTGGGTTTAATGTTTTTTTTTTTTGAGGGCGTTTCAACGAGTGGCTTGTACTATCTTCGTAGGTATGGAGGATGTGTACCATGCTACAAGTAAGTTGTCTTCCAAACTGCGTCGGCAGTCGATGGGTACATATGGGTAAACCACCGAGCTCCGAGCAAAGGGAGGGGAAGTTAGAGGATCAACAAATTCGACAAAGTGATGATTGATTCGCTCTCTCAACTTTGACTCCTCAGGTTCTGGCCAGCTTCTCCAGCCAGAAGCCTTAGAAGAAGAAGAAGAAGAAGAAGAAGCTGCAGCCTCATCCTACGCAGAAGGCTGTGGGTTAGAAGAAGAGCTTCCAATATCCATGTTTGCAAAGTTTTGGGCTAAAGAATTATGGACAACAGGTTCGTAATCCAAAGGTCAATAGTTTACAAAAGCTTTCATGACTTGAATATATGGAGATGGATAAATGTGGCTAATAAATGCATGAAAATTCTTTCGAGGACGAACATCATTATCTAACAACTCCTCGTATGCTCGATCTATGTCAAAGAAAGTTTGTTTGGCCATGCAAGTTGTATTAGTCTTTTTGAATGCTCAGATAATAGGAAATGTTCAAGGTATAGAGAAGAATTTAATGCAGTCGGTTGCAGTTCTAAGAAACCCATGCACGTCCTAGGACATGGGTGAAGTGTTTGGATCCACTAATATTACCAAGTATTGGGTATCTTAGTGCGGGGGGTAATGTTGGCTATATAAAATGTATAAGCCAATCACAATTTAACACGTGGCATGAGAAGGGCAATTTAGGAAAGTAATATAAATCGCCAACCATAGTCAGACACGTGTCAACCCATATTGGTAATAATGGGTCTGCGTAGTATTGGAATGATCGAGGGATATAAGATGATGTGGCCTAACGGTTACTCACAAGATTCAAATTCAAAATCAAGAGGGAAGTCTAACTACAAACATGGCGTAATGGAGCTAACTGTGAGAGAGCATGATCAGTGATCATGATGGAAGTTTTCGACGGTTAGAAGTCCATTTTGACGGTTATCGTTGAGAAGTATAAATAGCAGAGGAGGCCCCAGAAAGAAGGACCCAGACTCAGATCCAAAAACCAGTTTTTATCTACTTTATTTTCCTTCCAGTTTTTACATTTCTTGTTCTTTACATTTCTGTACTTCAAATTCTTGTATTGCACTTTATTCATAGGAGTAGTTTCAAGTATCTTTTTGCTGTAAACCTCTACGAGGCTGGATCATATCATTGTAAGTTTCATTTTAACTTAATGAAATGCTGCAATTGTTCTTTATTTAATTGTTGTTTACTAAATTCTCCTAAACAAGCCACCAGTGAAAGTCCTCTTCATTGAGGCTGAAAGAACTGAAACACAATCGTCTGATAATTGGTTGGCAATTAATCTTCTGTAAGGACTGATTGATCCTTACTAGCATGCTTAAAATTACAACACTAACCTTTGAAAGCCAAAAAAGCCAACAATTGTATGGAAATCATTTTTTATAGTAGTAATACACGCATTAATTAATGTACTAATTAGTATATCAATATTAGTTATGACATTATTATTGACTCCATTCATTATACAAATTACAAATACCAAAAACATCTTAAATTATGCCACATCATCAATTAGTTTATTAGTTAGTGCAATAATTGATACATATAGCATTATTCTTGCTTTTGAGGGTTTATTTGGATTTGGGTCTCCTTCCTTGGTATGGTTTTTCTGTTTTTGTTTTTGTTTTGATAATATGGTCTTGGAGGTTCAACGAGTGCGGGCAATGGCAATTGAAATTGCGAAAATGCCGTTAATAAATAGGGCTGAAGGTGAAAGAGAAGGTATTGATATGATATCTAATCATGAAATACATGTCAAATTGTGATACAATATGAAATCGATACAATACAAAATGTATCTCCCGATTCAATCCACCATCATATGAATCCGCAATACATATATATTTTTCATGTTTAATTTGCATTTCTTTTCTGAATTTTTATTTTCCTTTTTCTATTTTTTTGTTCCTTTTTTCCCAAAATGATGTATGAACTTGACAGAGTTCTTATTATCAACAACAGGTTTGGAGTGGAATCTGCACCTGCAATTGTATTTTTGAAAGAACATGGAATCAAACCTGTTGTGTACCATGGTATGTCACTCTTTTTATTTTGTTTCCCCTATTATAAGGTGTTTTACTTTAGAAGATCCATGTGATACATGAAATAGAGATAGTAATACTTACTGGGAATATATATTAAGTTTTTTGAGAGACTTTTTCTTAACCAATTAGCGTTTTGACAAAAAAGAACAATATTTTAGTCAAGTTGGTGTGATCAATCTTCTCCAAGAGAAAGGTGGTCTCTGTTTTGTAGTTTTTTTTTTTTTGTTTACTATTTTTGGAAGTGTTTTGGTTTGGGTCTGTAATGGTTTGACGCTTCATTTTGAGGTTTTGTTTTGCTTAGATTGCTTGATTCAACTTGACAAGCCTTAATTCCAATTACTTGGGGTTGACTACACCCTGCATACATCCATAACTTTTTACTCAGCTCTACGTAGAGCTAGTGTGTTTTGAGTTTTGACTAGATAAAAGCTTTATAATATTCTGGAAATCCAACAGCGTTGGGGTTACCCTTGGGGACATGTTAAAACATTAGAAAAATTATTAGGTTTGTAATTTCAAGGACCTTTGGGTAATTATGTGATTCGGCCATCCCAATGCTTAGTTAACACACATTGTAGTCAAGTATGTAATATGAATCGTAGTTTATAATCTTTATTTATATACTTATTAACATCTTCTTTTGTTGTTCCTTGTCAAAGGTTGTCAATCTAAATATTGGTGCTAATCAGCATACAGTTGCAAATTTTGAACACCTTGGAGACAAGCCGACAACTCAGGTGGAAGTTTGGGTTAATGTGACCAGTTGTGAGAAGCAGTTTTTGGAACTGCTTGATGTAGTGAACTTTGAAATTGAGAGAGAGAATCACCGAGACAGAAATCTTGAAATCGAAATCGAGAGAGAACTTCGAAATCAAAATCAAAATCGAAACCGCCAAGATTAATCAGCGAGATTGTATCATTCTGAGCTGAATCAGTGAGAGATGAATCGATCCATTGAGAGGGTTTAGAGAAATAGAGAGAGCGAACGAGAGACTGAGTGAGTAAGAGATTAGGGCTACGAACTGAGCGAGTGAAAGAGATTAGGGATTCAGAGGGTTGCCCATTTAAGGGAGAGAGAGAGAGGACAATCGAAGGCGTTTTTAAATGCGTGAAACGGTGCCGTTTTTATTTTTTAAAACAGCGACGTTTAAGAAACGTCGTTAAATGTTATAAAATGTGACGTTTTATAAAACGCCGTTAAATAAACGTCGCCAAAACTCATTTTTCCTGTAGTGATTTTTAGTCTTGTTTGACGTGGGTTGGGTCTTCCCTTCAAATGTTTGGGACCTTTTGCTTTCTTGGAGGGTAGCCAGAGTTGAAAAGAGAAAAAAAAAGGTGATTGGCAGCTAGGACCTCCCATTTTATTTTGGAGCATCTGGATGGAGCTTAATAGAAGAAGTTTTGATGGTGTTAAAGAGTCTTAAGGCTTTCATTTTTGTTTTGAAGAGTAGAATTCTAACCATCTTTTACAGTTGGATCTTGAGTGGGGTTGAGCCTTCATTGAATCCTTTTTTGAATTTTGCTGAGAATTTTGAATATATTGATGTATAGGAGTTGTTTTTTATTTTTTTGGTTTGTATAGCGTAAAACATGGGTGGCATCCCCTTGACAGTATATGAATCTAGTTGTGTTCTAGTGTCCTTGGACATAAAAGGTTTGATGAACTTGATAGTTCAGCACATGCAGGGACCTAATACCCGTTTCCGAGTGCATGTAACATAGCTTTAAAGTTATATGAAGATATAACTGTCTATATTCCTATGCCTATAATACATACCTATTGGGATATATTTACACATACATGTATAACACAAACCTAGTTATACATTCTAAGATTTTGTGAAACTAACTGTAATACGTTGGTTTATTCTCCGTTCCTTATTTTTAGAGCTTCCACAATTGAGAAGGGTGACATCCATGGAGCTGGGTTGTGATGCCCGTGGCTATTCTCGTGCTGGAAATGAAACGGCGATTTGGTACGGTGTTATTCTAGCAGGGAGATGAAGCCCAGAACTGAACAAAATGCTTGCACTGAGTTTGTTTGCCTTGCTTGTTATGTTAAATTAAATCCCTACTTGGTAGTTATTTCCTGGAAATGATTTAGCTACTTCGTTGGGAAATCATTGTCTAGTGATGCCAGCTGATTTTTCTGAACTTTGAAGACATATCTTCATAAATTAATATAGACAACTACCTAAGAAAGAATAGAAAAGTAACTTACGGAAAATAGTAGAGAAAGTGGTTAGAAAGAAAACACAGAATGTGAAAGAATTTATTTGTTGAATCGTGGCAAAGATCCTGATGTTCATACAAAGTTATGACACAGAAAGTGTGCTCATTGAAAATTTTACATTGAATATAACAGAAAGATTCATGTAGACATGCCCAAATGCTAGTATATTCTTCTAGTTTACTAAATGGAGTACATTACTATGATAAAGACTGCGCAGGATCCAAGAAGCACTGTCCATAGTTGATAAAGATCAGCCATTGTCACTAGTGGCAGTTGTATTGAAGGAAAAGTGGTTGACATTTACTTGGCTTAGCCCAGCAAGTAAGTGTCATCTTTTGTTTGTCTGGCGTGTCAATGTTTACCAAGTTTAGTTGTAGTTCAATTCACATTTGTGGTAGTGAATGGATTAATTAATTTGAGGGTCATGTATGTGATGCTGTATGGTACTTGGTAGCAATTTATTATGAAATTTTAATCTCTTTGTCGAACTTAGTTGCGATCACTATTGGCATTGGAAGATTTTTGCGAAAGTGCTAGTATCTTAATCCAAATGGTGGCCTAAATTGGAAAAGGTGTTCAGTACATATATGGAGAGCTTGTCTTGGATTGTTGTTAAGCTTCCTATAATACCTAGTTTTTTTTTTTTTTTTTGATTTTCTAATACCTAGTTTATATTTAAACATAAAAAATAAGAACCCCTTTCGTAACCATCATATTCCATGAAAAAACCAAGAAAAATATAAAGCAAAGACTTAAGTAAGAAGTTCAATAGCTGAAACCAAGAATGTCAAGTTCATCTTTGATGAGGGCAAGTTTCCTATTCTATAATGAAATGTTCAACGCCTTGAGGAGAAAAGTATTTATACATTTATATTTAATTTTAAATAAAATTAAAATTAATGTGTACTAATTGAGCGTTGTTTTTTTTATTTAATTTTAAATAACTTTTTCTCAGTAAATATAAAAATTTGAAATTTGAAATGCTTATGTGTTGATGCCTTGAGACTTACGCATTCACATTTAAAAGCTTTGATATATACATATTTAGCCAAGGCCTGTCTAGTGCAAAGCATGTACACCTCAATTGTTTGGTGTATTAGATTATGTTCTCCATGTGAGACATGGCCAATTAAAAGTATTCATCATTCATCGTTATCCTATATGAGTTCAAAACCAACTTTTGGAATTCAAAATTGTTTTGTTATTTGTCTTTAGCGATTTTTTTTCTTCATATTTTAGTTTTTATTTTTTATTTTTTTTAGATCTGCCAAATTAGACGCACTTAAAATTTAAAATATTTGAAAAAAAATCTGAAAAATGTTAAAAGATAATTTCATATTTTTTTACAAATATTTTATTTTTTAAGTGTATCTAGATTAGGTGCATCTAAAAAGTAAAAAAATAAAATAAAATAAAATATGAAAAAAGTTCACTAAAAACCCCCCCTCCCCCCCAAATTTTTTTTTTTTTTTAAAAAAAAAAAAAACT